CTAAGGCAAGACTAGAACTCACCATCTCCTGGTGATTGGCCCATAGAGACCCAGCCAGCTTTCATGCCTTAGGCGGGACTAGAACTCACCATCTCCTGGTGATTGGCCCATAGAGACCCAGCCAGCTTTCATGCCTTAGGCGGGACTAGAACTCACCATCTCCTGGTGATTGGCTGAAAGGGACCCAGCCAACTTTCATGCCTAAGGCGGGACTAGAGCTCACCAGCTCCTGGTGATTGGCTGAAAGGGACCCAGCCACCTTTCATGCCTAAGGCAGGACTAGAACTCACCATCTCCTATTGATTGGCCCAAAGTCACCTAGCCAGCTCTGATGCCGAAGGTGGAAGTAGAATTCTTAGTTTCCTGGTGACAGCTTCAAAATCACCCAGCCGCCTTTCATGTCTAAGACAGGACTAGAACTTACCGTCTCCTGGTGATTGGCCCAAAGTCACCTAACTAGCTTTCATGCCCAAGGCAGGATGAGAACTCAAGCATCTCCTGGTAACTGATTGCTAGGCCAGCACTTTAACTACAAGAAAGGCTTTATAATAAAACTAGCCCTGACCAATATTGCAGTGAGGGGTTGGTTGTTTTCCCCATATGACCTAACTTGTTGAGTTGGTAATTGTGGACTTAATGCAACATCCATACTCACATACATCTACATATATATAAAAACAGCTCTGTGTATGTGTGTGTTCCAGCATAACTCTGGAACGCCTCAGGCAATTTCAACGAAACTTGGTACACCAATGACTTACTCCCTGGAAACAAATAACTGTCGGGGATAAGACACCCTTAAAATCCCTCGGGGTGTGTGTATACTGCCTGTTGTGTCTTAAAATGGCTTCTACTGTACTGCTGTAAAATGACTTCTACTGTACAGCGCAGTGGAGTTGCCATGGTAACGGCTTCACAGTGCTCCACAAGGGGGCTCCCTCTGGTAAGGGGGAAAACCCAACATTAGAAATTACATTTGGTCCGGACATTCCCCCCCTATAAATAAATACCCGGGCAATGCTGAGTTATCGGCTAGTTGTTTACATTTTCCCAAGTTTATATTTGCCGAACATCCACACCACAACCCTTTAAACAAGGTGAAGCAAGACTTACTGGCCATCCGTAACTGGATCCTGTGGGTATGGTTGGACTCAGCCAGGATCTCCCTGCACACGTAATGGCCTTCATCTTCCCAACGCAGCCCCGAAATATGCAGGGAGCTGTTTTCCACCAGGGAAAAGCGACTGTCTGAAGGCAACGTTCCATCCGAGGAGAAGAGCATGGGAACTTTACCCGGCTGGCCTTGAAACCACTGGACCACTAAGACTTGAGAAGAGGCGTTCCAGCATCGTAGGGACACTTCCCCATCCAGTTCGCCAACGGCCACTTCTTCGGTTTCTGGGGGAGACAAAAGTTTTATTTATCTACATTTTCTAATTTCTGGAAGCGGAAGTCCTACATGCCTTAAAAGTTGCCAAGGTGGCAGAACAGGGAGTTAGGATTTCATTGGCTGGCATTGAGGGCCAGTTTGGTCCAGTGGTTAAGTTGCAGGCTGGAAACCAGGAGGCTGTGAGTTCTAGTCCTGCCTTAGCCATGAAAGCCAGCTGGGTGACTTTTGGACCAATCAGCAGGAGACAGTGAGTTCTAGTCCCAATGTTAGGCATGAAAGTCAATTGGGTGACTTTGGGCCAATCACCAGGGAGACAGTGAGTTCTAGTCTCATTTTAGGCATGAAAGTCAATTGGTGACTTTGGGCCAATCAACAGGGAGACTATGAGTTCTAGTCCCAATGTTAGGCATGAAAGTCAATTGGATGACTTTGGGCCAATCAACAGGGAGACTGTGAGTTCTAGTCCCAATGTTAGGCATGAAAATCAATTGGGTGACTTTTGGCCCAATCACTAGATGCCTGGGAGTCATAGTCCTGCTTTAGCCATGAAAGCCAGCTTGGGGGGTGGGACTTTGGTCCCCTCCCTCCCTCTCAGCCCAACCCACCTCACAGGGTTGTTGTTGTGGGGAAAACAAGACGAAGAAAGTGTGCTGGATATGTTCGCCAAGTTATATGTACAATAAAGGCGGGATATAAACACAAAATAGATTGGGCATGCCATCCTAAGCCGCAATTTAGACACCCTGGAGTGAATCAAATAGGGTGTGCTAAGTTTTAACAAAGTGCACCGAAATCCTAGCAACTCTTGGAAGCTGATATGAGAGAAGAGCAGAGCATTCACAGTTGCACTAAAAGCATCGCCTGGGCTTTTATCCTTGCCAAGCAGAATGCAGACTCATCCTGCACTGTTAAGTCTGCGTCCAACAGTCCCATTCCGGCCTCAGAACTCTGCGTACAAAAGAGCAAATTTTTCATTCTGTCAGGCTGCTTAGCTTGGTTGAATGGGTCAGGCTGAAAAGCATTGAGAAATTGCCTATACATTCATAGTCACCTGGTTATTTTTTGTAATTCTACCTGTCTTCTATTCATAGGTCCTTCCTTCCTTCCTTCCTTCCTTCCTTCCTTCCTTCCTTCCTTCCTTCCTTCCTTCCTTCCTTCCTTCCTTCCTTCCT